GCCGAGCAGGGAGCCCGATGTGGGACTCGATCCCAGGACCCTGGGATCATGACCTGAGCCGAAGGCAGACGCTTAACGACTGAGCCACCCAGGCGCCCCGGCAGTGATGTTTCTTATTGAAATTAGTTTTGGGGCACAAACGTGGTGTGGCCCTTGCGTTGAACAGATGGGTTTCCAAGGTCACTGGACGCCAGGAAGGGTCCCTGTCCTATAGATGGGCTGTGTCGCACCTCCCTGCACCTGCCTGTAGAGATGGGGTGCATTCCCCTCTGGGCATCTCCCCAGAGCTCAGGGGTCAGGGCCCCACCGGAATTCTCGCCCACCGTGCCCTGCCATACCTATTCTCCTCCCAAGTTTTCCTTGTCTTGGCAAATGTGCCCCACTGAGAAACTGCGTGCCTTTCTGGAGCCACCCTTCTCCCTCACCCGGCAGAGCACGTGAGCAGACATTGTCAACTCCACCTGCAAACTGTTTCCATTCCGCCCACTTCTGTGCGCTTCCAGGGACATGCCCTAGACCGGCTCTCGAGTGCCCCTCACCGGACGCCGCACGACCTCCTGCGGTGGTGCCCCTGACCCACTGCGGGGAATGACAGACCCCGGAACATGTCACACCACTCCCTGTTATTCCAGACTTCCCGTCCACACTCCCTCAGGGCCCCCGCAATCTGCCCTCCCCACTGCTCCAGCTTTGGGGTGTGTCCTGCGCTGTCCCCTGCGCGCTGTCCCCCTAGGGAGAGGTCTTCCCCGCCCCGTCTGGCACACATCTGTCCTCCAGCACCTCTCAGTGCTTTCCCATGTACAACCCAGCTTAGTTAGATCCTTCTTCATCTTTCTCTTTGCCTCGAAGGCACTTTGGGTAGTTTTATGTTTACTTGTTGTCTTTAAAGTTTTAATGAAATATGGAGTACATGCAAAAGAATCTTGCAATCAGAGGTGTGCAGTATAATGAGAAATGAAGCTATAATGTGAGCACCTAGGTACAGTCACAGTTGGAAAGTGGAACCGTCCAGCACTTTTCATGTTCTCATGCACCCTCCCCAATCTTGATCTTCTTCCGTTTTCAGAGAGATTTCTCTTGAATATTGGGTGGTTATTCTCCTACAATTTCAAATTTAGTTAGGTTTTGTTTGTTTCTTTTTGTTTTTGTTTTTAACTAGCTCCAGTTCTCTCTGGACCCCGAGCCCATTGCCATCAACTGCACAGCCTTCAATCACAATGGGAACCTGCTGGTCACAGGGGCAGCTGACGGCGTCATCCGGCTGTTTGGTAAGCAGCTGTGCTCGTGGCCGTCTGGTGCCCTCCTTCAGTGGCCCAGAGAAGAGAGTTGCATTTTTGCTGGCTGGACTAGAAGTTATTGCAGAAGCCCACCCAATTCGGGATGCTTGAAACAGAGCTTAACTTTGGTCCAAGTCTCCTCTTTTCAAAACCTCTGTAATCAGTCCCCTTGCACACGGTTGGTGTCCATGGACCTGGGAGTGGTGGGGCTTAGCAGGCCTTGAGTCTTGCACTGTGTGATCCGAGTCCTGTGGCCTGAGTGAGATCCAGGAGGACACGTGAGAGTAAGGCCGTGCCATCCGCTCAGGGAGGCTAGTGCCTTCTGGTAAGAGCATTAGGACGGTGTGCAGCGGAGTTATCCGGCACGCTGCTTGAAGAGCCCCATGCAGACCCGCCCCAGGAGACTCTGAGAGTCTGGGAGGGAACCAGGGACCGTGTCTAGCAGATCCCCCAGACGCCCTGTGGGACCTTACAGAGGCCGCCTCGGAAGGACTTGTTTGTCTTCCTAGACTTGTGCGCTTCCCAGATGAGCTCAGGTTCCGCCCAGGGATTCCTGAACCTCATTTTTGACCCAGGGAGAAAAGCTTCAATTTTAGAAATGTTAAATCGCTGATTAATACACTGGAGGAGAGAATGAGCACACCGGAAGAGCTCTTTGGCAGGGGCCAGCTCTCTGATACCTGGAGGCTCCAGGAGGCCCTCTGCCTCCAGAACAGTTCACGCCCTTTGGGCGGAGGGCAAGAGACACCTCCTGGCGTGGGCGGATGCCCCCCAGGGCCCGGGTGGGGGCCTTAGCGGCATCTCATCGCCTCAGATATGCAGCAGCACGAGTGCGCCATGAGCTGGAAGGCCCACTGCGGGGAGGTCTACTCGGTGGAGTTCAGTTACGACGAGAACACCGTGTACAGTATCGGCCAGGACGGGAAGGTAGGTGGCAGCCGCAGCTTGACCCAAACTCTTTTCCTCTGGCTTCGGCATCCGAGGTTCCAGAGAGCCCCAGAATAGCATGAGGGCCTGAGATGAATCCTGACCGTGCCCTTTAGCGGCTCTCTGCCTCAGGCCCCTCTCTGCCACAGCGTGTCATCCGTGCAAGGGGGGCAGCCAGTCACCAGTCTCGGCACTGTCGTGAGGTGTGAACAGGTGTAGTGGGAGTTGGCGATGAGGAAAGGGGAGAACCCAGCCTCCCTCCTAGTTGTAGCAGAAGTGACTCTTCCCACTCTAGGTGGATGAGGGGCGGTCCAGCTTAGGGCCCGGGTTGGGCTGACCTAGGTCATCGGGTGTCACAGCATGATGTGTCGAGTTTCTTCCTAGGGACAGTGCAGATAGGCCTGAGTGGAGTCAAAAGGAAGCGGCGGTGGGGGGGCGGGATAAAAAGTGAACATAAGTGCCTCCGTACGTGTTCTTTCTGGAAGGACACGTTCGGATCCATGGAAAGGGAGCTGGGGTGGGAGGCTGGCAGGCAGAGGAGAGAGGAAGACTTAGTCTCCGTGTATACCCTCCTGTACTTTTGGATTTTATACTGTGTGCCTGTATTATTCATTGAAAACTGTAATTACAAAGTAAATTCTTCATTTGAAAACTATGGGAAGGGATTTTTAAGTTAAAGCTTGACTTCCTATTTATTTGAGTAGGATTCTCAGTGAGGAGGTGGTCACACAGGCGGCTTGTCAACGGTGTAGACTAAAGGATTATTACACTACAGTCTGTGAAGCTAGTTTTTAATGGTACTGCTCATGTTGAATTGATTACACCACTGAGACAGTGGGAACATATTTGGAATTTATCCTCTCTTCTGAGCCGGAAAAACCCAGTTGGGTTCTAACCCTAGAAACAACAACAGCAACAGTAATCATAATGATCACTTGGAACAGTCCCCCTGCTTGAGAGACGGGAATCCAAACGTGGGCAGTTGCCTACGTTTTTCCTCTCCTGAGTCAGGCCAGAGAGAAAGTTCATGCTCTGCTGTGAAGTTACGGGCTCTTTCTAAGATGTTCTTCTCTAAAAAAATGTTTGAATTGTGTTGGGAAAGGGCAGACTGAGGGGTCATCCCACTGCCTTTCCTGGTGGCCTGTCAACCCCCCACCTCTGCCCTGGGATCCATCCTCCCCCTCCCAGGCCCGCCCCCCTCCGCCGCTGAAAGAGCATTAACGTTGTGCTTTGTGGTTGCAGTTCATCCAGTGGAACATCCACAGGAGCGGCCTGAAGGTGTCTGAGTATGGTCTCCCCTCCGACGCCACGGGCCCTTTCGTGCTGTCGGGTTACAGCGGCTACAAGCAGGTTCAAGTCCCCCGGGGCCGACTCTTCGCTTTTGACTCAGAGGGAAATTACATGCTGACGTGTTCTGCCACAGGGGGTGCCGTCTACAAGGTACTGGGGTGGGGGCTGTCTCGGTGGGCAGGGAGGTTCCTCCTGGAGGTGGGGGCTGAGGGGGCTGAGCGTGGAGAAGCCTCTGACCCAGGGTGGCTGGTGCCTTGTGGCTGCAGGCCGGGCAAGGGCACTGATCCTCAGCTCGGGGGTGGGGACAGGGCGGCGACACTCATCCTTTTCCCTACTTGTCCATTTGCGGTCGTTTGACAAGATTTTGGCCCTTCTCTGCTTTTGTTCCTTGGGAATAATATCAGTTACAGAAAACGTGAAGAAATAGGGAGAACCGTTGGGAAGCGTGTTGGGTTAGGGGAACGCACCGCGCACGGGCAGGTGCTTCCGTGATCTGCTTTAGTGACTCTGATCTGGTGTAGAAGTCTGTAGTTTATTGGAGGTCCCGTGGGTCACGGACATTATAGTCCATGGCCAAGGCAGAAATCTGGGGTGTGATTTATCACACCAGGATGTAAGTGGTCCACGTTTTGTCCCTCAGTTTATGTGCTTGTTTTAATTCTCATGTCTGAGCTTCTCTGGTTCATGTACTTTTTTGTACAATCGTCTGAAATTATAAACCTCTTCTATTTTACTAGTATTATCAAACAGACTAGTGATGAGGATTTGAGTTGTAGTCTAAGCATATGTTTGTTTTTTTGTTTTTCTCACACACACACACACACACACACACACACACACACGAGCAGTGGGGGAGGGGCAGAGAGAGAAGCAGACCCCTCGCTGAGCAGGGAGCCTGACGGGTCCCGAGCCCAGGACCTGGGGATCATGACCTGTCCGTGCCCTCATTACGCCGGCTCACCGGTTAGTGGACGGCCCGTGCTGTGGATGGCAGTCGTGTGCAGCTGTCGGCCTGGGCTCTGTGGAGCACACACAGGGGAGGGTGCAACCCTGCTTTCGTGGGGCTCACATGCAAAACACCAACACCAGGGACAGGGCAGGGCAGGGTTCTGATCGGAGGCAGCTGGGCGGGGGCTGGACCTCAGGGGAGACCCCTGTGGGGGCGGGGAGGGTGGTCTATGGATTTGAGGCCTTCGGAGGAGGAGTTGGGGAGGACGGAGAGTGAGGCAGGCCTTGGGGCCCCACAGGGATAGAGGCAAGTGAGAGCACTGGAATGGGGGGAGCGGAAGGGGAGTGCAGAGGGGTCGCGTCAGGAGCCGTCTAGACTGCTGGTCCGGAGCGTGGCACCGGGTAATCCGGGCTTACCATCACGGAGGTTCCTCTTTTCTACAGATGGTGATGCATTGAGTGGCTTTTGCCTTCTTAAAATTAGCTCTGTAATTTCTTGTAATTGCTATTAGAAGATGCTATAAAAAGCTTTGTGTTTGCAAGCCTGATTGTATTTTATTATTTAAAAACTGAGTTTGTTAGGCTATACTTTGCTCTGTGTATGATTTTATGTGTGTTGTGTGTATGTTTGTGTATTTTTAATCATGAGCCTTTGTCACTTGTTATTTGTCCCGATCAGCCTTTGTCATTTGTCTGCAATGCCTCCTCCTATCCTGTCCTCTTGCAGCTGGCTGGGGATGAGAAGGTTCTGGGCATTCAGCTTGAGCCAGGGTGGCTACTGTGAGCTGACGATTTGCCATCACACTTGCTCTGTAACCAGTTAATGGGTTGGAAGATTTCCCTCTGTATAATTTTTGAAATGCCAGTTATGGGGTCTAGTTACTTAAGGAATATAAGGAACTTTAGATCCCATTTTTACAATCTTTAAACAATCTATGATTTTTAAAGATGTTTTCTCCACGAAGGCCAGCGACTTCGGTTCCCTACTCATGGGTGTTGACTGTCGCTGGATTGATCTTTATTCATATGCTCCTGACCGCGCCTTCCTTGTTCCCTTCCGACTCTTCATGGCCGTGGGCTGAGTCCCGGGAGGCTGGTGCTGGTGGGCGAGGGAGAGCCGGGCTCACACGTCCTCGGTGGCCCGCGTGTGGCGCACTGTGCTCGCTGATGCAGGAGAGGATCAGCATCCTGCCCTCCTGCAGCCTGCATTCCTGGGGGAAGCAAATGGGAAACCGCAGCAGATGCATGATCTAATGCTGGGGAGCAGTAAGCCATATAGGAAAATACTGGGTGTAGTTTGGGGTGGGTGCAGAAGGCAGTGGCCCACAGCAAGTTAAAGGTGGCAGAGAACATTCTCTTGTCTTTTCGAGCATAGGATACTGTTTTCCACCTAAGACAAAGGAATAACTATAGTCAGGACAGTGAAGGCATTTCCCGGCTCAAGAAATTAAACTGAAATCTTCTGGAAGGGAAAGGTGGGCGTATGTGCCCGGGGAAGGCCTCACAGTGGGGTGGCAGCCCCCAGACTCGAGGCAGTTTGGTGGATAAAGTGGCTGTGTTTGTGAACAGTGCCTGCTGACGCCTCCTCTCCTATCTTGCAGCTGGGCGGGGATGAGAAGGTTCTGGAGAGCTGCTTGAGCCTGGGCGGCCACCGAGCCCCTGTGGTCACTGTGGACTGGAGCACGGCCATGGACTGCGGGACGTGCCTCACTGCCTCCATGGATGGCAAGATCAAGCTGACCACTCTGCTGGCTCATAAACTGTGACGGGACCCGCCCCGAGGGACACCCACGGAAGCAGTATTATCTGGGGGGAGTGGAGAAACAGGACAGGAAGACAGGGCACTCTGCTTCCCGCTCCTGGCCAGTGTGGGGACTCCTCAGGGAAAGACTGTCCAGGGAACCCCGGCTCTGTCCAGCTGCAGAGACTGGACGGGAGCCACACTGAGTCGTGGCACGAGTGCCCCAGAGACCAGCACACTGGGCTGCGCAAGAGGCAAGCCCCAGGTGGCAGGGAGGAAAGTTCAGGAAGCAGGAGATGCAGAGTGCTGGCTGCTCTGTTGGCCCAGGAGGGACTGACAGTATTTTGTATATATTTGCTCATTTTTCATCTTTTTTTAAAAAAAGAATGTTCTCATGGTCACCTGGTATCTCTTTCTGGAACGCGTGCATGCAGCGGAGCGTCTCCCTTCGCCCTTTGCCCTTGGAGAGGCAGATGTTCCGACAGGGAGCTGGTCAGCTGCGAGCTGAGGTCCTGCGTGCCCGCTCTTGCCAGCTGTAGGACTGAGCCGTGTGGGAGGTTTGCTTGTCGCTTTGCCTTGGAGCTAGGCCGTCCTGTCTCCCACTGCGCTGGCTAGCTAAGGTTTGTGCTTTTCCTATTGCTTTGGGCTGCAGTCAGGGAGGTCATAGTGTTCCTTTTCTTCCCTGCGTTGGTGGAGCTTCTCGGGATGAGGTTAGGGCCTGAGGTCTCTGATTCCAGCTGCCCAATCCACCTGGGTGTGTCTGTCCCTCTGCCACTGGGGCTCCGCTCATTCTGTCACCTTCACATCCTTGAGGCGGACTGGAGCCAGCCGCCAGCGCCCTCTGCTGGTGAATGGTGAGAGGACCGGAGCCAGTGGGCCAAGCTTGCTTTTCCATCTGAGGTGGGCGAGGCGTGGGTCTCCGGCTCCGATGCTTGACAGGGGTGGCCTTGTTGCCCAGGTGCTCGGAACAGTCATTGTAGGGCCTTTTTGGGCTCCAGCCCAGGTCTGGTGGTGCAGGTCCGGAGCAGGGGGTACTCCCAGTTACCTACTTCTAGAGAATCGTGAAGTTGGTACTAAGGCCTTGGCTCCCATTCTGCTGGGATTTGGAGGAAGAGTCGGGATTTATGTGACTCAATTATGAGAGAACACCAGAGACTGCTAAGTAGTTATTTACAAATTTTTACCGATTTCTACCTTGGTAACCCTCTTTTCAAATGAAGAAAGACAAGACTTCTCCATTTACGATTTTCCCCATCTTCTGCATTGAAACAGCAAATTATCTCCCCCAGTGATTCTGTAGGACATTTAAGAAGCCGTCATGTGTTTCATTTGAGTGAGAGAATTCACTGTTTCACTTCACCATTTTGTTTCAGTTTCTTATTACCCATTCTCTCTGCTCAATATGGTCTCCACAGCTACTGGAATGTCTTTAAGGACTGCAAAGAAACAAAGTACACTTGAAAAGCTATGTCTTCTCTCCTTTCCTTTAAGCTCTGGGCCGAACACCCGCCTCCCTTTTGTTTTGACTTTGGCTTGAGATTGTGTGGGCTTCCACAGCACACTGCCTAAAAACACAAAACAAAACCACGATACTGCCTAAAAACTAACAAAACCCAAATCCCATTCACCTCTGACCTTTTGAAATTACCAAATACAGGTGGCCAAACCTGCTGGCTTGTCTCTCCCCAGCCTTCACTCCATCCTGAGTGCTGGGCAGGCTGTGTTCATCCTGGTGTTCCTCCCTGTGCCACACATACCCGTCTAGGATGAGCTCTCATCCGGTCAGTCACGTCCAAACTTGAATTTCCTTCTCCTTCACAAGAGCTGCTCAGCCCCTGCCCAGAACCCCAGCAAGACTCCTCCCATTCTTTTGGGCAAGGGCAGCTTATTGGGAAGCCGTCAAGCCAGTGCAGCTCAGGCC